CGCCATATTCGTGTCCCGTTCGTCTCCCCTATTTGGCGGTGTCGCCGTTTGTGAACCTGTCTCTTTACGTTCTTGGCGGAGTCGCCGTTTATTAATCTTTCTCTCTTATATCTTGGCGGAGTCGCCGTTTATCGCTTTTCCTCTTTTCTATTTTTGGCGGAGTCGCCGTTTACCTATCTGTCTCTTTTCTTCTTGGCGGAGTCGCCGTTTCTTACTACGCTCTTTCCTATCTTGGCGGAGTCGCCGTTCCTATTTCCTTTTCCCTTTCGTTGTTCCGAGCTTTCCCGCGGTTTCTTCAGATTTTCTACGATCTCGAGTGCCCCGCACTCGCGGTGTTCTCCCCGGAAATCACCTGGCGCCCAACATCATTTAGTTTATCGCGTATCGGGTCTCGTTAATATCGAAACTCTGGTGAGAGAGAATCATACAGCGTTTTGTGTACGGTTCCCTACTTTCTGAATACCTTTTATCGTCAATCTACTTTAGCTGTGAGATTTTGTTTTCGGGGAATAACGTCGCAGTAGATATATTCTACATACATCTATATATGTTGTATACATATAGACATATATTGGAAATACATGCAGAATATATGGGGAATACATGTAATTTTATATTCTCTAACAACATACATCAAATGTATCTGCAGTATATTATGCATATAAATGATTAATAGTTTTGATATATGCACAAATACATGCACGCGTGAACCAATTTCTATGATATCCAGTATGTAGTGAATATATTTTATCATATATCAGGCTTATATATTAAATATACGCTATAAGTATTCGACATATACTGCCTAAATGTAAATCGACATATACGTGACCTATCTGTTTGATATACATATGTGACGTATACGCTTCACATAAGTTAGGTATATAACATATACAGTGAGTAACTTTAATATTCGGACACTATGAGATTTTTACTATATTACGTTATAACTTAATTTCTAACCAAAAAGAAAAATGATTAAGGATTATGATGACGTATACGCTTAATAAACAATAGCGTAAATTTTGTTTACATAACTTACAATAGTTGTTCAATAATACGGTTTAAATAAAACATTGTCCGATTTTCACGTTACTTTAATATTCGGACACTTTACAATGAAGCGCTTTTTCCAATGTTCAAGCCGAGTTACGCCAAAATAGAGGACAATGTTTATTTACAAATCTAGTCAAGCCTTCTAATTTAAGCCTTACTTTATTAGTTATTTGTCGATCATCGTGCAATACACTTGTACAATGCCTCGCAAAGCGAACACGCGTTTTGATATACGGCAATTTGTAATATATCATAATGCCAAAGGAAAATCGTACAGAGAAATTGCTGCTCTGCTAAACATAAGCAAGAGTACAGTGGGAGATATAGTCAAGCGGTTCAAATGCGAGGATCATATAGATTTTATACCCCAAAAAGGCCAACCGAAGAAACTAGACGTTCGGGATGAGAGAAAATTGCTAAGAAAAATGAAGAAGGACCCTACGCTCAGTGCCCCAAAATTAGCATCAGAGCTATTAAACGAGACTGGAAAAAACGTGCATCCTCAAACAGCGGCTACAATGGAAGAGTGGCTAGAAAGAAACCGTACGTGAGTGAAAAGAATCGAAAGAAGAGACTGAATTATGCCAAAGAATTTATTTTGAAGGATGAAACATGGTGGAATGATGTCATCTTTTCTGACGAAAGTAAATTTAATATTTTTGGGTCAGATGGACGAAGGATGGTGTGGCGGGAAAAAAAGGAAGAATTTAAATTTAAAAATCTTCGGTCGAGCGTAAAGCACGGAGGTGGCAGTGTAATGGTCTGGGGCTGTATTTCGACTTTCGGACCGGGCGAATTAGTTTTCATCGAAAAGATTATGGACAAAAATTTGTAAATGACCATATTGAAAAAAAATGTACACAGAAGTGCTACAAAAATGGGGATTTTAAATACGTTCAAGTTCTACGAGGATAATGACCCGAAACATAAGGCACGCAATGTGCAGGAATATTTGCTGTACAATTGCCCAAAAGTTTTGCAACCACCACCTCAATCACCTTACCTTAACCACATTGAAAATGTGTGGGATGAACTAGAGCGCCGAATTCGAAAAACACCAATATCTTCCAGAGAAATGTTAAAAAATCGTTTAAAAGAAGAATGGAACAGTTTGAGTACTGAATATTTAAAAAAAATTATTAATAACATGCAGCAGCGTTTGCAAGAAGTAATAAAGCAGGATGGCTACCCAACAAAATATTAAAACAAGTATTGTAACAAAAACCAGCCGAAAAATAAGTATGTGCATATGTAGTTTCTGAAAGTGGCCGAATATTAAAGTAACGTGGAAATCGGACACTGTTTTATTTAAACCGTATTATTTAGCAACTGTTGCAAGTTATGTAAATAAAATTTACGCTATTGTTTATTAAGCGTATACGTCATCATAATCCTTAATCATTTTTTTTTTTGTTAGAAATGAAGTTATAACGTAATATAGTAAAAATCTCATAGTGTTCGAATATTAAAGTTACTCACTGTAGGTCAGTACAATAATAAATTTATTATCTTTTTCAGACGGCCAGCATGTGGTAAACAGCAAGCGTCAGCGCTCCCATGCTACAGACGGTGAGGGACATTTTTAAAAAATTGATCTCGAGGAATCTTACGCTGCAGTGCACGGCTGTCAAGAATACCGGGAAAAAAGTTGTCCTTAACAGGACTAAATTTTTTTCTTGCTGTCAAGGTATTCTATACCTTGTTGACATAACCAACTTTATGTTGACATAAACCAACTTTAGAATTTTTCAATCGCGAATATGAACTAAGTAATTGAGTTCAATAAGTTTTACCTGTGATCTATATTTTTCAGGCGTCGTCATTGCAAAATACAAACAAAACGAGAAGATAGGTCTAGTCACCCCGAAAGAATTCGATCAAGCCGCCGGGAAGGTGATTAATAACGGGAAGGATTGGGAGAGAAACTGCTCGACCAGAAAACAAAGGAGTAATAAATAAACCGGATTATCGTATACAGGGTATAACCAAAATGTGATACGCGGTTATATTAGTTCGATGCGGAGTAATTACCTGAGTAAGAAATTGTTTAGTTATAAGCGTTCAAAGGTGGACTAATCGCAGAGTAGAAAAAAAATAGTCTCGGAAAAAACCTATTGGAAAGACTCTCGGTAAGAACCTCGTCAAGAGGCTCAGGAAGTCTCGGAAAAATTTTGAGAATATCAAAGACCCCTGCTTCCATATACATATATATAAACATGTCCACGGGATACTTTCGGGACCCGAAGCATTAAGGAGTCAAACCTGTAAGCTAATGTTTTTTTAAAAAAAAAAACTAGAACCTTGGGCTGTGACAGCATTGAAATTCTAAGCTAAACTAACCTAACGAAACCTAACCTAACAATATAAACAATTTTATTAACAATAAAAAAAATATTAACAAATTCGGTGTGAGTCACCTTTATGGGCCTCAAAACAGTCATTACGCTGGAAAAACATTGAGGTCAGACCCCAAAACAGCCATAAGACCTCGAATAAGCGTGTTCGTAAAAGAAATCGACTCCAAAGTATGCGATAGCCAAATTTATATTATATATATATGTATATACAGGGTGAACCACGAATCGTGATCAGTAGAGATTACTTTGTTATTAGACGTCCGATCAAAAATGTTTTTATCAGCTTTTACATGGTTTCAAGAGAGCTTTAACGTGATAGTGAAAAATTACTGATCAACTCTTTTTTTAAATGTTTGTTCAAGGTTATCTTGAGTTTTTGGCAACTGAAGATATCATTTGCTGTACAATTGCCCAAAAGTTTTGCAACCACCACCTCAATCACCTTACCTTAACCACATTGAAAATGTGTGGGATGAACTAGAGCGCCGAATTCGAAAAACACCAATATCTTCCAGAGAAATGTTAAAAAATAATGTTGTTGACAAGTCAAAATTTACCAATCTTAATTGTAGCGATGTTCAAAATGGTGTCCACGAACTGCAATGCACTCGCGTAGACGGTGAACAAAAGATTGTTTTGCATTCTTTATGGCCTCTCCTCTACACTGATGGCGACTGAAGACGACAGAATGGATGCGTATAACGGCGTAGCTGTGATTCTTCTTGTAATACAAAGTTTTTTAATTTTCTTTCGAACCGGATGAAAAATATGTCATGTCCTTGCATGTGCCGAATTCGTCTTGAAATCCTCTAACAGACAGGCGTAAAAAAATTATAGTTTCCCGTTGCAAAAAATTCAAGGTAACCTTGAAAAAACATTAAAAAAATAGTTGACCAGTAATTTTTCACTATCACGTTAAAGCTCTCTTAAAACCATGCAAAAGCTGATAAAAACATTTTCGATCGGACTGCTAATAATAAAGTAATCTCTACTGATCACGATTCGTGGTTACCCTGTATATTGATACCAAAGAAGAAATAATATTATAAAACATACACTCACATATAAGCGCGAATTATTATTATTACTTTTAAGTGTTTCTATATATGTAACGATAAGATGTAAAATCCCAATCAATAAACAAAAAGACATTAAAATATATTCACGGCTTTGCAATGTACTAACCTTCACGTAACAAAAAAAAATATATTTATAAAATAATTAGGGCAACCTTAACATGGCCCGGTCAGGCATCCTGATCAGGGCCATATGTGACACAACGTTACAATTCGAGTCAGGGCGTGATCAGACTGCCCTAAAAGTGCCCTATTGAGGCAGTCAGGGAACCTGATCACGCCCTGATCGGGGCCGTATTAAAATTTCTACGCGGGCATATACTCGTCTTTTTAAATTGTAGCCTACATATATATTTGACGCAATTATTTATACTTGATACAATTAGAAAGGATTACAAAACAAATAATAACAATGTTCACAGTATAGATATATATTTTCAAGCTGAATCATATTTTCAATAAATCCGAAGGCGGACGAATACAAATATTCCTGCATCTGTTACGTCGGCAATTCAAAATGATTCGGGTGTATGCATGCGACAGACATTTCTATTTGACGCATCTCAACAAAAGTAATTTTCTCTCAAATTGCCGGTACTTCCACAGCAGCTAATTTATAAATTTTTTGTTTAATGTAAATCATATGATCTAAACGGCGCTCTTTTACCAAAGACACATTATTTTGTTCGTAATAATTTCCAATAGCATAGCACTTCAGATCACCTTTTACTTGTAGAACAATGAATATAAGGATCTCAAATATTTCTCTGTCAATCAGAATTACAAAATTGCTAGACCATTTTAAGTACTTTACAATAATGAGCTGTCTGTATAATTTCCTCATTGATAATAGCTCGTTTATAGTATCGTACACAGGTCAGCTGTTCAACATTGGCGTCGATTCTTTGTAGTGCCAAAAAAAGATCTCGAGGCATATCCTGTAGGGCAAATTGCAGAGTGCTTTTGTGTTTTGTTTTTTAGATTTTCAAATGTCTGAGTTTTTCTCTTGGCTATCTTCAAGTTACATTGTAGTAATTATACTACAAAGGGTGCGTTCCACTTTACGCTCGCAATGATCGCAACATCCTCTGTCTCGTTCCACTTAAGGCCGCGGTCGTTATGAGCAGTCCCTGAAACGTCATCGATGACGTCATCATTGGCGACCGCGATGCGATCGCTTCGCCCACATCAAATAGGTGAGTCTTTGTGGTCGTTTGATATTTTTGGGCGCCATTTTCAATTGGAATTTATGATGGAAAGTGAAACAATAACCCTTTATGATTCCGAGAGGGATATATTGCTCGAATTTAATGTTCCTCCACAAGATGCTTTGCGTGCGAAAAATGGTACATGATATTATTGTATACAATATACAAAAGATGCTTACTTTAAACCTTATTTTGGTTAGAAAACCTCTTCTATTCTAACGTAAGATCATATGCTTTTAGATATTACCTTTGCAACAGCGTTAATGAATGGAGCTCTGCAAAAGAAAGATTCCCGCACAAGTCAGTCAGCTCCTACTGTTACGGAATTAAACGAAACAGAAACTCCAACAGAAGAAGAAATCGTTCATAATACTAACCCTGAAGAAGGAGGTACAAAATTTGTAGAAACTGAGCTTTTATGTTTTGATACCTATTTTTTCAGTTAACACTCAAAGCAATTGATTCTAAAGCTCATAATGCTTATTTTAGGATATGTGTATCGGTGGACATCGGTGAAAATAAACTGACAAAATCACAATACTAACAAAAGTTGAAACGCAAGGTACGGCAGAGGAACGGAAGCTGAACGAATACCCGGTTAGAATTCTCGCACCCGCGAAGTTATAATCGCGATCGATACCTTTAACACGTTGAGCGCCACGCTGATTTTTAACACTAAACCTACCAGAGCGGTCAAATGACCGCTTTTGAGACTTTAATCAAAATTGTTAAATTCCAGGTTTTTATTTTTCTTGAAATTACTGCACGACTATGCTAAATTCTGTATTAATTACAATCAACTGGAAAAGACTATAATGTTTATTTCAAAAGCGGTCATTTGACCGCCATCGGTAGAAATAGGTATATATAATATGTCGGTAGGTTTAGTGTTAAGCAAGTCCCCGTCAGGCCACGCGCGCCGCTTAGAAGCGCTGACATTGTATGGCCAATGTTTCTTATCGTAGTAGAAGAACACTAACTTCAAAGAAAATCGGGAAAAGTCTCTGAAGTACGAAAATATTGTAAATTATATTATGATAAAAATGTAACAAAAGATGGTAGAGTAATGGCCAGCAAAAAGACTAAGCGAGTTGTCACATTTTGTAATACTTGTAAAGGAGAACCGTTTTTATGTTTACCGTGTTTTAATGAAATCCATTAATCCTGTAATGAGTCAAAATTAAGTGAATTTTAAATAAATTTTTTGTAATTCCATAAAACAGTGTAAATTTTATAATTCTATATCATGTTACACGATGTCAGCCACCGGTGGTTGACGCGGCCTAAACGGAAATTCTAGTGTCAGCCACCGATGGCTGACGTGGCGTTCAACATGTTAATAAGAAAGAGTCAGTCGAACAAAATTATAAATTAGCATGAACCCGATGAAACAATAATATAGGCGCGGGTTCTTCAACATAAGTTCAATATCGAAATTTATACAAAGCACACGACGTGAATTCAGAAAATTTAGCACAATAAATAGAAAGTCCAAAGTAAATTTGAACAAGGAATGGCACATAACATATCACAATTTATAAAATAAAATTATAACGAGTATTTAATTATCGTTGCAGTGGTACGACATTCTCGGAACACGCGTAGTATAATAATCTCGACGGCCGGCAGAAGACAGAGCGTCAAGGAACGTCAACAAGAAAGGTCACCTGAGACACGTGAGAGGGACGTTCGCAATACGAAATATTCCCAAATGATCTACAGATAATATAAGGGAAAATAAAATAATGTTCGGCAACGATAATAAAATACGACACATAATAAAAGATTCACAAAATAAAAACGGAAGATATCGCATACACTAAACTACAAAAAGACGTGACAGGTAGGAATCGCACTTCAAAAAAAAACCAGAAAAGTCTTAGCGAACCATAACGAATTCAAATCAAATGAAAACAGTTCGAAGAAAATAGAAGAAAACGGTAAAGTGTCTAGGTACTTAGAGCATGAGTTCACCACGAAATTTTACGGAAATTATGATTCGGGAATTTCAAGGTAAATTACAGTTGTAATATAACACTATTTTTCTATTAAACATTAATGGTAAAACACAATAACAGAGAAAACACTACCAAAATAAGAGCTTTGAACAATTCGAGCGATAACGTATAATCGATGATATGCGGATATATAATAAAAGGAATCTAATATAGATAAATGCCGTTTAAAACAAATTACTAAATTTCGCTAACGCACGCACACTATATTTAAAAGTATATTAACATAGAGACTCGTGGTGACAATTCTTATATTTACGTGATCGTGATAAGCCAGCCGTAGCCAGGAAGTTTCCAATATACAGCACCTCGTGTCTTTCCAGAATGCGATTTGTTTCTAATAAAATCCAAGCCGAATAAAATACTCCTACGTTGACCACGGGACAATGGCCCAAATACCTAAGAGAGTGATGGAAAAACAAATCTAATAGAATAACGTCCTTATAAGCGATTTCTATATTCTTTACTATAAATACCTGCTGCTTCCGTATTCACTGCCTACAGGCAAATGGGAAGAGCAAGACTTTTCCCTTCGCGAAGCTACTAAAATTTACACTAAGTGGGAGGACACGAATGTACTGGCATCTGGAATAAATTCGGCGCGCAAATATAATTGTCGCGCTACACAGTCTCCAAAATTTAGTAATTTTACGGTAGATGATATCTTATAATAATCGTAAAAATATAAATAGGCCGCGAGAGAATCTGGCTGTCGAACCACAAAGCCCCGAGGTCAAACGCTCTGGCAGGTAGATTCCGCCGCGTACACTAGAGCGAAGATTCCAGAAAATTCGTTAATCGGAGACAGAATATAAGTCACAAATCACACAAGAAAAGCGCAAAATCAGAAAATCAATATTACAAACTTATAACGACACTATTCTCCTTTATGCTATAGTAGGCGGAAAGACATTCGCCCGATAACGAAACGGAAAATAGCTACCGTATACAAGTCTATAATCTTCAATAAGAAAATATAGAAAATATGAAGATAGCGAAAGATCTTACCAAAAGAAAAGACAGCGAAGTGGTAAAGCTCAATGAAGGAAGTAAAAAAGATGGACACGGCAGCAAACGGTAGCAAGCAGTCGTTCTCTCTCTCTCTCTCTCTCTCTCTCGGGATCGTACGTACGTTCACTACAAAGCTTCACACGAAAATAATTATCGATCCGTGATCGTGGGCGAGCGGTCCCTTTCTCTCTTTTATATATAGATGGCACCAGTTAGGAAAACGTCCTTTCCAAGCGGCCACACGCGAACGGTCCCATGTGAGGTAGAAATTGCACCGGAACGAAACGAACGGTGACGGAGGTTGCTGAGCTCTCCCGAGCTCCGACGCGCAACAGCGAACTCGGCCGAGTGGAGACGAATGACAGTCCTGTGGGCCCTTGAAACGTTAGGCCTGGCGGGTCGAGGTTCCTCAGGCGACTTCTCGGCCGAACGGTAGCACTGTCGTGGCCAATCGGCAGGCTTTAAGCGTCCCCACTCTCGCTTCGCCACTGTTCCCGTAACTTCTCTCTGGGACGCCATTGCGTCATTCAGTGTACATTCATGAGTGTTCTCCAGGTATAATACATATGGTTCTACAGCATTTATCTATTTTGTTTAATTTTTAGTATATTTCTTATGAATAGGGAAAATACTTAGACAAAAAACTTATATTTTCTTTGATTGTACAAAAAGTTCAATTTTTTTTTATCTTTGGAGTTTTTTATGTTTAGTTTAGATCCCTGAATATTGGTAGCGTTTTCAAATAACGTAATGTACATATACATATGGAAAAATATATCAATATATAAACGCACTTATGTAACAATTTACTTAAGTCTAGTCCCTGCTTAACTTAATAAGCTTAACCTAGTGCTCGGATCATTTGTGTACATTCATGAGTATTCTCTAGGTATAATGTGGTTCCACAACATTTGTCCATTTTGTCTAATTTTAGTAAGTGTCTTATGGATAGGAAAAATTGTTAGATAAGAAAAAACCTATATCTTCTTTGATTATACAAAAAGTTTAATTTTTGTATCTTAGTAGTTTTGTACATTTAGTTTAGTTCCCTGAATATTGGTAGCGCTTGATATGGTAATTTGTGTTTAAAGTCCGGCGGGATACTGTGTTCCCTTATTGCGGTAATACCTGTAGTGAGCTCATTGTTGTTTAATTGTTCTCGATAAAATCTTTCTCCTAATTCTTTGGCATACTCAAGTATCTTTGGTAATGCAGTCTCATCATGCATATCACTTATCCTAGCGTATCTATCTTTTGATAGTATTAATCTAAGGCACTTATTTTGAAATATTTGTAAAGGCTTAATATTAGTTGGTGCTGCGCTACACCATACTGGATGAGCATACATTATTATCGGTCTTAGTATCATTTTGTAGATTAACAATTTGTTTTTCTTAGAGAGTGGTGAGTTTTTTACCATTATTGGATAGAGTTTTCTATTTACCATATACGCTTTACTCAAGACTTGCTTTATATGATTCTTGAAAGTTCGCTTAGGATCCAGGTGGACGCCCAGATATTTGACGGAGTATGTTGGCCTTATTTTGTGCTCATATACTGTAATGGGTTGCAGAATTTTTACATTTTGGATTTTTTTGGCCAATAAAATGACTTCTGTTTTCGTTACATTTAGTAATATTTTCCATTTTGTGTAGAACTTTTCGAGAATATAGATATGCAACTATTGCACTAAACGAATGGGCATAAATGGCCGTATCATCTGCGAAAAGGACTGTGGTGGTTTTTGGAAATTGTGGTATGTCATTTAGATATATATTGAATAATTCTGGTCCTAGTACTGACTCTTGAGGAATTCCCGCTCTGATCTTTCTTTTTGTAGTTTGGGTTTGATTCACTGTAACTATTAGGTGTCAGCGTTTTAGTTAGTCATTTATTAGTTTTATGAACGTTGTGGGATATTTGTACTGAATCATTTTAAAGATAAGGCCATCAATACATACTCTATCGAAAGCTTTTTCAATATCCAGAAGAATCATAACCGTGGTATTCTTTTTGTTGAAGTTAATACATATGTGGTGTAACGAATTCTTTTTAAAGTGTTCGGAACAAACAAAAAATTTATTTTGTTGAGAAAGCCGAAATCGTATTTAAAACAAAAAACTTTTGAACATCAGTCCATACATCATTCCACATGAATTATCTTGCAATGATCGACGTACGACAAAACGACAAAGCTCATCCATTCACATTCCTTCTCCTTCACTCTTTTTACATATTGCACATATATTAACAAATCAAAAAATTGGCCATCTAATAAATATTATATAAATTCTTATCTTAATTCGATTTCCTTTCTTTCCCAGATCCCTCGTGGCGTTCGTCAATGGTTATTCAGAAATACGGGTTTGCGCTTGAGCGTCGTCGATTTAGACACGTGTTCACTGCCTACGTGTTTCTCCTCTTGTTTGTTTTTTCAATATTTTAGTAAATTATTTTGTGTTGCAACGTCAAATTCCCGGGCCCTGTTGCCTGGTAATAAGTTAATACACGAGGATTGTATTAAATGTTAATATACGATATTTGAACTAAGTGTGATTGGATGAATACCTGGCTCGTCGAACTGACACACGTGTCACCTTAGACGGTTGTTAGTCAAAAGGGACGAGCCAGGATTTCTTCCGATGAAGATGGAATCGCAGCGAACGGAGGGGGGGGGGAGAAACGATATTGGTGCGATCTATTGCCTAGATTCATTACCATGAAACAGGTATGACCTGTCGGTAATTCGTCACAGTGGTTTACTATTCTAGTTCCCTGCTGAACGGTATAGTGCCCCTCTCTGAACTCAAATTGATTGTCTATTATGATCTTATTATCTTTTTCAAATTTATTGAGTCTTTTATGAATAATTTTTTTTATAATTTTAACCATAATTGGAAGTAAGCTAATAGGTCTGTAACTTGTAACGTGCGTTTACCCAGGGAGTTCCCCGCGAGTTAAATTGTAATTAGTATAAGGAATTGGCGAGCGGTATCACTGGTTGAATTTCCCCCTCCCCTGTATTAGTCGTATTTGGCGAATTGATGGTTGCTGGAGTATCTTCACTGGAGTCCCTTCACTTAGGGAGTCTACCGTTGAAAGTATAACATCGTGCAAGACAAAAAGTATTGGCCATTGGATTAAATCTGAAGCAGAATAAATATTTTTGGAAATGATCTACTATAAAAAAGGATCCACTCCTAATTGAAATCATATCGTAAGATAAAAAGGATCCATTAATAATGTAGGATTTTTACATGGGTATATATAGGTAAGGCGCGAAATCACTGTTCTCGTATCTTTGAGATTTCCGTTTTTATTTCGTCCGATCTTTACAGCGTCGTGTCCATTACTGGCTCGTACATCTCACTCATATTCATCCATCCACATGCATACACACATCGAGACATTCGATTCTATAAGCTTAGGATGAGCAATCTAGGCTTGTCTATTAGTGTTTCTTTCATCTACCACACTGATATGGCAAGGCACCTAAAGTTTAGAATCCTACAATAATTGGAAATATATCGCAACATTTGGATCCTATAATCATACTGGAATCAAAGAAACAAATTAAAGAATACTGAGACGACTAAGACAAGGGAGATACATCATCCACCCGCTGAAATCTACAAGACGTATTTATTACATAATTATATTTATTCATATTTTTATTATTAGTTTCTCATAACATGTTCCATTTTGATTATAAAGTGTCTTGCCGCCCTAAGTACGTAATAAGATAAGAGTATATCTATTTTATCAAATGGTAGATTCATAAATAAAATTAAAATTATTTATTATTAAAATAATTCATAAAAGAAAACTATAATTAAATAATTAATAGTGTGAATATGGATGTTTTAGTGTGAATGCATGTATGTATGTGATGAACCGGTCTATTGAGGCATGTGCTATTAAAGACTATAATTATAATTTATCTTGCAAATTCTGATCGTTCATTTATTTTACTATTTTATATATATGCCAAAATTAGTAAATTGTTAACCATCAGAAATAAATGTCTTATAAGCAAATACAATATATTACAAACTCTTTGGTTCGCTTTTGATTTTTCCCGGTTTTAGCATCGGTATGACGCTCTTTGTTTTCCAATGCGATGGGAAATACGAGAGTTTGAAACATGCATTTGCGATATATACGAGTTGGACAATGGCTTTACGACTCAGGTTTTTAAGTACGATGTTTAGTATTTTATAAATTCCTGGAGCTTTGCTTGATGACAGTTTCATAATTTCTTTTGTAATTTCCTTTCGGAGACATAGTAAGGTTAAACCACTCATTAGTTAGAGTTAATTTCAATTTTATTGTTTATTAAGTTTGCGAAACTATTCCAATCCGTTTTACCATAGTCGTAGTGTAGTCTCTTCTTTTGGACATTACGTTGGGATGATAAGCACATGGTAACAGGATTGGCATCGGAGGTTAATTCTTGAAGTACTTCTATATTAAATGTATTACTAAAATTTTTGTTTATAGCTACGTCGATTGTTGTTGGCGTCATTTCATTGTGTGGCAAATGCGTTGGCTCGTTAGGGAGTAGCACCGTACCATTATTTTGTTGCACATAATTAAATAGAACTCTAACTCTTTTGTTACTTCTGTTAGTGTTCCGATTAATATGCCTCGCGTTTAGGTCACTAACCAACAATACCTTGTTTCCAACGCTAAGAATATTATCTACATTACTATTCGTAAACATTTTGTTTGCGCTACAATACGCACAAATTATATGTATATTACTTCCTAGTTTAACACAGACATTTTCTGTAGGAGAGGTATCACTCTCCTCCTAGGAGAGTGTTGTATTGTATACGTTCATGGAGCCTGGGGTGTCCCAATATACGGAGGTATCTCTGGGGCTGCTCCGTAGCTCCTTGTCCTTGTTTTCGATCAAGCCTGTTCATAATTGTGTTAAAATTCGTTGTTCTTCGTTATCCTCGTCATCGCACTGTCCTCGTTACCTAATTACGATGCTGCTTATAAGTAGCGGCCAAAAATTAAAAGCAGCTGCATCAGAATCAGCGGGTTGTTTTCTCTACTAGGAAAGAAGGTAAGTATTATTTTCTTACAAGTATACATTGCAGAATACATCTCGTGAACTTGACAGTGCTGCATGTGCTGCTTCGTAACTACAAGCAAGATTGTCAGAACGATGCTGCTTGTAAGTAACTACCAAGAATTAAAAGCATTTGCATCAGAACAAGCGAATTGTTTTCACTACTAGGAATCAAAGTAAGTATAACGACCGAGAATCAAGGTACGTATCATTTTCTTGTAGGCATGCGTGACAGAATCTATCTCGTGGACTTGAAAATGCTGTTTGTGCTTGTTCGTAGCTCCAAGCAGCATCGTAAGGACCAGGAGGTTTTGCTTTCTAACTTTCGCGACTGTCATTTATATAAATAAAAGTTTCAAAACGATGTGCGTTCTGCTTGACGTGCTACCAAGGTCCCTATTAGTTATATATTCCTTCCCGTTCGAATGGTAAAGGTTTTATCCCGATCGGATACAAAATGGTCGAACGGCTTGGAGTGAAATAGTGCATTTTGGGACTTTTCGAAAAGTGCGAGAACTAGTAGTTCCGGAAGGAAATTCATATTTCTAATTAAGCCACGAGAGAGAGCATCCTTCGGCATTAAAAAACCACCCCCATCGAACCCTTGTAGAATCACTCTAGGTGGAGCAGAACTAGTAGTTCCGGAAGGAAATTCATATTTCTAATTAAGCCACGAGAGAGAGCAGCCTTCGGCATTAAAAAAACACCCCCATTGAACCCCTGTAGGATCACTCTAGGGGGAGCTACACCCCCTTGAAGTGAAAACACTTAAATGACCATAACTTCCGAACGCGCCGACCAATCTGGTCCGGTTCCTGCGTGATATCATCTTTAATGATACTGCAGATTCTCACAAAATTATTGTTCTCGGAGATGATCCCGTGACGGAGATCTCGAGATTTCGCAAGCGCACCCGAAGCTTCCCCGTCATTTTTCATTAGGAAAGCGATGAAAAAGAAGTTTCATATTTATTCCATGTTGTAGCTGAGATTTCAACGAATAGAACGCGCTTTTAAACATCCAAAAATGAGTTTGCTAAGGGGTTAAATATTTCATTTGAAAAAACGCCTAAATTTTGTGAGTTCCGCTCGGGGCGCTCGGGGGACTACTACCCTACCACGCGCGCCAAGCAATTGTCCCCCGAGCGCCTCGAGCGGAACTCGCAAAATTTAGGCATTTTTTCAAACGGATAATTTAACCCCTTAGCAAACTCTTTTTTGGATGTTTTAAAGCGCGTTTTAATCGAGGCTTGGAGTGAAATAGTGCATTTTGGGACTTTTCGAAAAGTG